TGGTACCTTTTTTTAGTGCACGCATGGCTGTTCTGTGGTGCCTTAGTGAGCGGCTGTCTGTCTGAAGGTCTTGGACGGCTCCCGCAGCCGCGATGCGTCGGGGAAGGGGGGGAAAGGAGAGAGCTGTCCCTGCATGATGTTGTTGTTGGTTGCTGGAGAGAGGTTCGAGGAAGCTTCGTGTCGTGGCCGAGACACAGAAATGTGCTCAGACTTTTTGGCGTGGCATGGCATCCGAATGTCTCGCCCCGAGTTGAAGCTGGCCTTGCCGCATTGAGCAGGGGAGGTCGTTCTGCGGTCCAAGTTGAGTTGAGAGTTGACATGACACTTTTGACGTGCGGCAGATATCCGCATCCTTCAGGATCAGCATCTTGCGACCACGCACCGGGCTGCGCTCAGGGCCAGCTGGTGGTCGGTGGTTGATGTTCGATGTTCGTAGACATGCGTAGATAAATATCAGCTTCCGGGTCGTATCTCGGGACTTTTCTTGCTTTCGCCGCCGTCATCATCGTTATCATTTTTTTTTTCTTCCCGCGTAAGCTGCAGCTGCCGCCGCCTTCCCTCCATTGGGCGTCGCTAGTCTGGAACGCCACAGGGGTCGTCGAGAAGGCGGTGGCCAGCCCAGGCCAGCTCATCGGAGGGTTGCAACAAGATGGACTGGAATGGGCTCAAGGGCATGCGTCAGGTAATTTTTTTTTTTTCCCCTCTCCTCTAGCTCCAGGTACCTGGACGCGATCGTCGGTCGAGCAGTCGAGTTGGACGGTAGGTGCTCTGTATTCTCGCATGAAATGGAGACGATGAATACGAAGAGGTGGACATTTTGGTGCAAAATCATAACAAAGCTTTCCTCTCGTCGAGTTCCGTTGATGGAGGTGGCAGCCCAGACACCGGGACCAGGCCAGCCCAGGCCAGCTGTTCAGGTGCAGGTGCAGATGGGGGAGGTCCAGTGTTGGGTGCGTCCAGGTCCAGCGTCCTGCATGGAACACAGCGGCCCCTCCCCCCCAATTCTTGTCCGGCTCCCCTTGGGCTCCTGGCTCCGAGGGCTTCCCTCCCCTCCAGGTCCCCTCCCCGAAGCTGCGGTGGGTGGGTGAATGGATGAGAATGTGCAGCGTTTGTCCCGTCCCCTCCAGACTCCTGGCTCCCGGGGGGAACGAGATAAAATGAAAATTGGCAAATGCGAACTGGGTTCCCACAGTGATATCACCGCTACATAAAGGGAAATCCCCGTCCACCTCGTCCATCTCTGGCCCTTGGGATCTCTCCTTTTTCCTCTCTCTGCATCCAATTCAACCATCCACACTCGCTCTTTGTTTGTTGTCGTTGCCGTTGCCGTCGTTGCTACTGTAAGTAAGTTGGGTCCGTCTTCGTCTGCTGGCTGCTGCTGCTACTACATGTACAACCGCCGTCACTATTGTCACCGCTGATCTGCCCGTCTCCTACTCCAACCGAAAGCCAAGGTTGCTCTCGCGTTCGTCCCATGGCGAGAAGCACCTCACTTCGCCCCCTTCCTCCGCCATATCACCTCCCCCCGCCTTCCCCAAGCTTCACTGTACCTGCTCGATTGTGCCTCTCCCGAAATTCTTGCTCCTCATCATATGGAGAAGCTCGAGAATTACGTCAGGCTACACAGATACCTTTGAGCTCCTAGTCCCAGCACTTTTTCTCCCCATCCATCCCACGGCCAATTCCCTGTCACCGTAGGCTCTACCCCGCCGTCTGCGATTTCCCATCCTGTTTTTTCCCCTCCTTCCACAATATTCTGCCTTCTACACCCCCCCGAGAGCCCGCCAGAATCTTCTCTTCGAGCTCTTTCACAGCCCGGTCGCGTTTACTGACACTCTTTCTCCTCAGTCCAACCTCATTCACCGCGAAACACCCAAACACTCGCCCGCAATGGCTCAAGCGATCAAGAGCGCCCTGCCTACTCACCTGAAGTCTCCTCTTGGAGGCCAGGGCAAGGCTGATGACGCCGAGTTCACCTCCCGCCACCACGGCAAGACGAGGTCTCACATGGTATATACTGCTCTCTGCTCCTCCCATCATCCCACGCGGTCCCGGGCAGTGCCAATCGAAGTTTGACGATGGGGCTCTGCTTCTCCCACGAGGACGCCATGAAACGAATTGTGCAATGTGAGCACGAGTAGCTACTGGCTGCTTTGTGTCACTCTGCTCGCGCCATTACCAATCGCTTCTGTGCCTCTGGTCCGCCTGTCTCTAGTATGAGCAGTGCATCTTGAAAAGGCCTTTCAAGCCAGTGGTATAGCGAAACAAGCAGCAGGGCGTGGCTTTGCTATCTGATGGATTCTAGCAATCTGAAGGACGATGCAAAACGCGCTTTGGTTGGGTCGGTTCGCAACAGACTTCATGGCGTCTCAGGGGAAAACAACAAGCTGGCCGTAATCGCACACTGGCCCCGCCGCAGATCACTTGACGACAGCTTCATGAAGCCCCACCCAACAGGGGCCGCAATTATACCCAAAACCTACTTGCCAATGGAAGACTGACGATATCCCTCCAAGGCTTTCGAGAACACTTCCACCAGCGTCGCCGCTGCCCAGATGCGCAATGCTCTCACCACCCTCTCCGAGACGGTCACCGACCCCGAGCAGAAGAAGGTCAGTACTCATAATTGCCTGTACAAGAACCGCCCAATGCTGACCCCTGCCGCAGCTCTTCGAGACCGAGATGGACAACTTCTTCGCCCTCTTCCGTCGCTACTTGAACGACAAGGCCAAGGGCAACGCCGTGTAGGTCTACAGCGGAAAAGAAGCACAAGCATCGAGCAGGCTAACGAACGATATATAGTGACTGGGACCGCATTGCTCCCCCCGCTCAGGGCCAGGTTGTTGACTACGAGGACCTCGCCAACTCCGAGTCCGTTCAGTTCCTCAACAAGCTTGCCGTCCTCAAGCTTAACGGTGGTCTCGGTACCTCCATGGGTTGCGTCGGCCCCAAGTCCGTCATTGAGGTTCGTGACGGCATGTCCTTCCTGGACCTGTCCGTCCGCCAGATCGAGTACCTCAACCGCACTTACGGCGTCAACGTTCCCTTCATCCTCATGAACTCGTTCAACACCAACGACGACACTGCTGCCATCATCAAGAAGTACGAGGGCCACAACGTCGACATCCTCACCTTCAACCAATCAAGATACCCCAGAATCCTCAAGGACTCGCTCCTCCCCGTCCCCAAGACGTACGACTCCGCCATCAGCGACTGGTACCCCCCTGGTCACGGTGACGTTTTCGAGTCTCTGTACAACTCTGGCATTCTCGACAAGCTCATCGAGCGTGGCATCGAGATTGTCTTCCTTTCCAACGTCGACAACCTGGGCGCTGTCGTCGATCTCCGCGTCCTCCAGCACATGGTCGAGACCGAGGCCGAGTACATCATGGAGTTGACCAACAAGACCAAGGCCGACGTCAAGGGTGGTACCATCATCGACTACGAGGGCTCTGTCCGTCTCCTTGAGATCGCCCAGGTCCCCAAGGAGCACGTCAACGAGTTCAAGTCTATCAAGAAGTTCAAGTACTTCAACACCAACAACATCTGGCTCAACCTGAAGGCCATCAAGCGCGTCGTCGAGAACGACGAGCTTGAGATGGAGATCATCCCCAACGGCAAGACCATCCCCGGCGACAAGAAGGGCGAGTCCGACATCTCCATCATCCAGCTGGAGACTGCCGTCGGAGCTGCCATCCGTCACTTTAAGAACGCGCACGGTGTCAACGTTCCCCGTCGCCGCTTCTTGCCCGTCAAGACCTCCTCCGACCTGATGCTCGTCAAGTCTGACCTCTACACCGTCAAGCATGGCCAGCTTCAGATGAGCTCCAGCCGCTTCGGCGACGCCCCTCTCATCAAGCTGGGCAGCGACTTCAAGAAGGTCTCTGACTTCGCCAAGCACATCCCGTCCATCCCCAAGATCATCGAGCTGGACCACCTGACCATCACCGGTGCCGTCAACCTCGGCCGCGGTGTGACGCTCAAGGGCACTGTCATCATCGTCGCTACAGAGGGCAGCACCATCGACATCCCCCCTGGATCCATCCTCGAGAACGTGGTTGTCCAGGGTAGCTTGCGTCTGCTTGAGCACTAAATGGCTCTGGCGGGTTTGTGTATTTTGAGCATTTTACAGCAGAGGTCACGATGCGCGGTAAGCATCTTGGATGACATTCTGAAAACGCGATGGGATAATAGAAATAAAAACGTTCCCCAAAAAGGCGGCACACCTGCATGCCCGAGGCAGTAGCAGTATGAATTTGATAGCATTTTAATAGGCAGCACTGCGTGTTCATGCTCTTGACGGAATTTCTTTTCGGGCCATGTAGGCTGTATGTGATGTCAACGCGTGAGGTGTGATGCGAATACGACTGACACGGCAATGATGTCCAGGAAGGTTAGCGGCTGCTGCCAGCCGTGCACCAGCCGGATTGCGACCGACCGTCTCCGGGTGGAGGCTGGCCTTTGGCCTACCTGGCTTGCAGTCCATATCAATCGGCGCCGACTAGCGGTGAGGGACGGGAAAAGGAACGAGGACGCGCGCGACTGCATGACGGGTCCCTGTCCCGGACCTGCGAAGGCGGGTAATATTGCATGACTTGGGGGGTCTGCCGGTTTCCGCGCCGCAGCATTTACAATCTCATGCGTCGTTGTGTTGAGAAGAGGCCCTGTTCTAACTTGTAAGTTTTCGTCCGGATTCGCCGACGGGGGGGAGACTGGATGATATATTAAGCCTCGAACAAAGACCTGATCAGGTCCCACCGGCTAATGCTGGGTGTGAGACCTTCATTCGCCGTCTCTTCCATTCTTTGACAACCGTGGATCACCCTGCAACCAGGAGGACACCGACCTATTGGTCCCCCTTCTTAACTCGGGATCTCTTCTATGCTCATGAACACACCAAATCCCTCTCTACCTTGTCAACTCCACCTCGTCTGCACACTAGCCCCAGCCCAATCGATCCTCTCTCTCCGCAACACCCGCGAACCAGTAGCGAACGAGAAATGGGTAGCCTCTACAAGTCGCCGGCCCTGCCGTACTGGCAGGTCAATGTGCCGCCGGAGCACCGGACCGAAGAGTGCCCGGAGGGCCTCCGCAACCTCTCCGCCAAGGACGTGGGGATCCTCAGCACGCCGGACGCCGAGTACGTCCCGCAGTCGTGGGAGACCGTGCGGCGCTTCGTCGCCACGAACCGGCTGGACCTTTTTCAGCGGGTGCCCTCGGAGCTGCGCCGGTACCGGCTCTTCATCCACCAGCTGATCCAAGAACACGGCAGCGTCATGAACTTCGTGCTGAGGCGCCGTCTGGGGTGGGAGGAGCCGTTGGTGTCCAAGGGGAAGCCGTTTGAGCTCGACGAGGATCTGAAAATTTTGGTGAATGATTGGCCGTACGGCATTGACGAACGGATTGTGCACCTCGTTGTCTGGACCAAGTTCGAGCTGGACGAGGATCTGGCGACGGGTGATTTGACCGAGGTGGCGAGGGGTGAAATTGAGGCCTACGTGAACAGGACCTTCCGGTCGAGGACGAAGCCTGATTCGGTGAGTGCTTTGTATGTGGCCCGGGTGAGTCTCGGATGGCTAATCACTTTCTCAGGTCATCTGGTTCAAGAATTGGAGAAGTCTCAAGTCCGTCCATGCGGTCGAGCATTTCCACGTTATGCTCTTCGACCCGGATGCCGAATTCATCAAGAACATCACCAACGGAGATGTTCCGCAGTGCGAAAAGTTTCGTGCATGGTGAGGAGATGGGCATTAGAGCAAGGTTCACGATCCGCAACGGCGGCGAGCAGACACGGTATCGCCGTCATTTTCAGCTTTATTACGCTCAGAGAGCACACAACGAGGGAACAAAGATCTCGGTGGGAAAAGTTCGTTTTGCTATGCGCGGGCACTGACGAGCTCTCTGTACTCGACGCGGGAGGCCTCGGCCATTGTAATGGCCGTCGGCTTTTCCATCGCCACTTTGATAACCCAGCCCGGTGCCTGCGAGGCAGAGGACGCCGCAACGCCTTTGATATCCTTGCGGATGCTCTGTGTGATGGCGGGGCCAAGGGCCTCGAGAGTCTCAAAGGACGAGTCTGATAGCGTCTTTGCCCCGGATAATGTTAGGTTATCATTCTGTGTAGGCGGGCATAGGAGGATGTTTAAAACGACCAGGGATTAGAAATACAAGAGAGAAGAGATAGACTGACCTTTACAACAATAGACTCAATGCCGACGTACACGTCTTCGGACACGTCAAACTGCTCAATCTCCACGTCCGCCGCAAGAATCTGCCTTGCGAGTCTCTCATTGTCGTTTACACCAATAAGAGTGGGTACCCGCAGATCGTGAAGGCGAAGGCAAGAGCTGCGTACATCGACCGGTGACGGGCCCCCTTGGGGACTGAAGACGGCGGACGCTGACAGACTAACAGCGCTCCCGAGGAGAGACGCCTTGGGCATCGTGACGTTCAGGTTCATGAACCGAACCAGCGAGAGCCTATCCCGCAAGAAACCAACGCTTCCCTCCTCGGCAGGGACATACTGTCCATTGAGAGAGAGGCCGGTCAGATCGGCCCAGATCTGACCAACTGCGTCCCGGAGGCGAATATGTGAGGGCTTGCCGGCTGATTGTGCCTTCTTGTTGATGCCCCCAAGACTAGAGAGGATGGCCTTGGCGAGCAAGCCGTAATGCACTGTGTCGTCGCTGACACGGTCCGAGGAGGACGCGGCGTCAAAAGGGCTAGCCATGGACAGCTCCGCCGACACGCGGACCGGCTGCAACTTGTTCTCGCGGCCCCAGGCGTCGGTCCCGGCCTGGATGGTGCCCTGCAGGTCGCGGACGCGGATCACGGCGAAGGGCTCGCCGGCCTCGGCGCGGACTTGCCACGAGGAAGCTAGGCGAGGGGCTGCCATGGTGGGAATGAAGCAGTTGGACGGTCCTGTAGCGAATCTGACAGCGGCCGCTCCGAGTATTCAACCAGGTTGACGAGTGTTGTGACGAATGGATGTCTGTGAGAGGGAGTCATTTGGTGCACACCAGAGATTTGTGTCTTGCGCACTGGGTACAAGCCCCTCTGACGCAAAGCCTGTATGGGGCCCACCGCCGACCTTGGGTTTTGGTTGTAGTCCACAACGGTGAAGAACATCATGACTACAGCGCGCTCTGCTCAAGATTGGACAGTAAGCAACTACGAGGCGCTGCACTGTTCGTGTCTCTACTAGGCATCGAGCCATTTGGTCGCACGGCTGGGAATCCAAACAATTACATGAATTCATTATTTTGGTTGTTTGGCTGTCTCTGAACAGCTGTGCGGCATGATCTTTACAACACACAAACCGCTCATAGCACGGCGTCTGCAATCCTAGATACCCAAGAACTTGCGCAAATCCTCCGTGTCACGGGCGGTCCATGTGATCTTGGCCTTGATGGAATCGGTAGACTGCGACAGCGCTCGAACGTAACCCTTCTTGTCCTTTGCGGCAAAGAACTTATCGACTTGGTCCAGCTGCTCTTGCTTCGTGAGGCCACTGGTGCAGTAGCTAACGATACTACCAATCATGGAAGACTGGGCGGGGAACTTGGTGTAGATCTCGTCCCACCTCGTCTGCATCCAGTCGAACAAAGCCTCGATGCCACTCTTGCTAGACCGCAGGCTGCCAATGGGGATGTAAACATCCTGGTCGCGGATCTTGCCGCTCAGCAGCATATCCAAAGTACGTTGTCTAAGCTTAGGGTCACGAGCCTGTCCCAACGTGCGCAGGGCGCTGTTGCGTTCGTCGCTCGTCTCAGCGGTCTCGTAGTACTTGAGTACGGCATCGTACTACAGCATTTTGGTCAGTTGATGAATCGCAAGAGAAGGATAAGAAACTCACCTCCTTCTCGCCACCGTACTTCAGCACGATGGAGAACGCGGAGCTTCTGATGTTCGGGTGAATGGCGGTCCTGTCTCCAGCCGCAAACTTCTCAAACATCTCCCGCGCCGCGGCCAGAACCTTCTCGTCACCGGCCATACCGGCCGCACCAAACATGAGGGCCTTGTACTGTTGCTCGACGTGGCCGTCAGCGCTGGAAAACTTCCAGCCTAGCTTGTGGGCCATGCCGCTGACAATGTTGCGCTGGAACTCGGTCAACTTGTCGACAACCTCCTCGTCCTCGATCCATGCCATCTTGATGGACCCAAGGCGAGTGAGAATCTGGTCCCAAACCAGGTACTCTGCCTCGCCGGCGTTGCTCAGAGCCTTGAACAGACCCAGGCAAGAAGACGTCTTCTGGTAACCCGAAGTAGCCAGCGCACTGGTGTCAGCCACGATGCCAACTCTGTCTTGGACAGAGAGAAGCTCAGCAGCATTGCCAAGCTTCTCAAGTCTGTCAATGCCGTACTTTGTGCGGTAGAATCCGGTGGAGTCGGCGTTAATCTTGAAGAAGTCGGCGTCCGCGACCTCGAATTTGGCGTCGCGGGTCGTGAGCATCAAGTCCTTGTCAACACCGCCCTTGGTGCGGACATTGAGAGAAATGGGATAGAGGACCTTGTCCTCCTCAGGCTTGACATCTCCGGTAGTTAGGAAACGGTGCTGCTCCACGCTGATCGAGTTGCCCGTCTCCGTAACGGAAACGACAGGGTAACCAACATTCTGGGTCCAGATGTTCATGATGGAACCGACATCCTTGCCGCTGGCTTCACTGAGAGCTTGCCACAGGTCGTTTGTCGTGGCATTTCCCCACGCGTGTCGCTTGAGATACTTCCGGACGCCCTCCATGAAGACATCCTCGCCCAGGAAGGCTGAAATCATGTGAACGACGCAGGAGCCCTTGGCGTAGCTGATGCTGTCAAAGATTTCATTAATCTCCTCGGCCTTGTGGACAGGAACTTCGATGGGGTGGCTGCTCCTGAGGCCATCGAGGCCAAGGGCCGCCTGAAGATCCTCCCTGACGAAAGACTCCTTGAGCTTCCACTCAGGGAAGAACGCGTTCAGAGAGTAGCGAGATGCAAACTCGGCGAATCCCTCGTTCAGCCACAAAGCGTGCCACCAATCGGGAGACACAATATTTCCGAACCACTGGTGAGCAATCTCATGGGTGATGACGGTTGAGACACGCTCTTTGGCTGCGGCACCGCTCGTCTTGTCATCGAAAAGGACCTCGACAGTACGGTAGGTAACGAGACCCCAGTTTTCCATGGCTCCGGCGGCAAAGTCGGGAATGGCAACTTGGTCGAGTTTCGGCAAGGGGTAGGGGAGACCGAACGCCTTCTCGTAAAACTCCAAAGCCTTGACACCAATCTCCAGCGCGTAGCGTCCTCGCTCAATATCCTCGGAGGGAGGCGCGTAGACGCGAAGAGGCACCCGGAAGTCATTATTCTCAATGTAGTTGAGTTCTCCGACGATGAAGGCAACGAGGTAGGTCGACATGACGGGGGACTTGTTGAAGCGAACGGCCTTCTTTCCCGCGGGCAGCTCCTTCTCTTCGGCAACGTCCATGTTGGACAGGCACGTCAGGTTCTTGTCGGCAACAAGGGTGACGGTAAACTCTGCCTTGAGCGCAGGCTCGTCAAAGCAGGGGAATGCCCGACGAGCATCGGTAGGTTCCATCTGACTGGTAGCTAGAATGCCCTTAGAGCCGTCAGGCTTGGGGTAGTATGAGCGGTAGAAGCCAGCCATCTTGTCGTTCAGTTCACCAACGAACTTGATTTCGAGAGTACCCTTGGCGCCCTTTGTGAGACGGTCCTTGAACTCGAAGGTGTGGGTCTGCTTGGGCTCGTCGTAGGTGATGACCGGGTCGCTGAGGCTCTTTTGCTGGCCTTCGGCCGACAGAGACAAGGCGGCATGCTTGACTTCAATGTCGAGAGTATTCAGGGACACGATGTTTGAGTCTTCGGCAACGTCAAAGTCGATCTTGACGTGACCGTCGAATTTGAGCGTCTCAAAGTTGGGCTCGAGGGTCAGATCATAGTGGCGCGGGACGACGTTGGTGGGCAGCTGCTCTCTGGGGTAGTTCAGCGTGCCTGCGCCGGCAGCTTCTCCGTGCCTGCACATATTTCGTTTGAATGAGCAGTGTCGTGTGGCGGCGAGGCGCTGGGGATTTTGGAGTCGAACGTTCCGTTTGGGAGGGGTAGCTCGGGAGGTGGAGGTTTGTTGCGCTGAGAATGCACTATATGTTCTCAACTGGTATGGTCTGTATCGCTCGTTGTTAGCCAATGAATACCTGCTGCGGTGTATGCTGCCGGTGAGCAATCCAGCTGGAGAACCCACATGCGCGCAAGTGGCCGTCTGGTCGATGTGATGCGTGATGTCAAATCGACCGTACGTTTGGTTACGAAACGGAAAGCCATGAAGGAGGGGGCGGGGGCCAGAGCAACAAAAGAACGAAAGCGGTCAGTTCGGGCACCCAGCTACCTGAGGTAAGGTAAGCTATGCACGTCTAAGGAAGGTACATGTAACGCGGGGTCCAATTCCAGAGAGGGGAAGGGGGATAGAAAGCTTCCAGAGGCTCCAGTCTCAGCCATGGGGATGCGCCGATGCAGGCCGCGCTGCTCGCCCGGATGCGCAAATCCAAGACTCCCCACCTTCTGCCTCAGGTCACCGACCCGTGCTGCTCTCTGCTCCGCCCGAGCTCCACGCCAAGCCGCGTCCACCCGATCCGGCCCACAGCCGTTCCGAGCGTCCATCCTCCCGGATTCTGCCCTGGTCCTCCCGTGACGTTTTCCATGTCCGAACCCACGGCGCCGTTCGGAAAGTCGCCCGGGCGAAATCCAGGAAA